AAAAATTCGCATCATACCCTGTTATGTAAATTATGTTTTAGGCCTATTCAACGCAAGTATTGACCCATTTAGACAGTCTAAGAAGCTGGCTGCTTAAGCTTTTCCCGCCAGAGCCCGCCAGGGTCATGAAAGAGACATCCCAACAAAACGTCGCAAATCTACGTGACAAAATACTTGTTCTGCTTTTGAATTGAACTTACGTGTGCAATATTAGGAAGATTATCCTTACTTGACACTTTATCATAAGGTCAATTCGTTTCCTTGAAAGGGTTTTTATTCATGGAGTTCCTTCAGGTTAGATAAATAAGTTTAGAAACCGAGGAATCCACACTCTTGTACAGATATATGGTCTTGTCTCTAAGGGGGGAAAAGCCCTAAAAGCCGCCAATAAAGATAAGCACAAATTTAATTGACAGCAAAAACTGACTTTCAGAAAATAGATTGAAAAGAAACTGTTTTGCAGGGATCATGGAGCGTAACTCTACAACAGCACAAAAATGCGTCGCAGGACCCTGAAATGTCGAGCAAATAATATTTGAATTAATATTATGCTTCTATTTATTGATCCTTGTAACTGTTAGAACTATACTTGTCTGTAACAAACAGATATAAATCTAGATGTAAAGGAATAAATATTTTCTTTTAAACTGATACTTTTTCTTTCTTACAAATACTATTTGTTGACAAATTCAGCTTTTCCATAGTAAGTATTTTGTTGAATATAATTTAGGATATAATTTATCTTTTCTCGTCAAAAATAAAGTCTTCTATTTAGCTCTCTTCTGTGCAGACAAACTTGAAACACTGAAGTGTGGTGCCTGCCTTCAAAATCACACACTTGTCGAGTTCCAGTCTTTTTCACAAACAAAAAACAAACAAACGACAACATAATTAGATCAAGAAGTACAACAATCGTAGCAATTTTTTCAGTCAGTTTGTCAGACAAATCAGCAAATAAAAAAACAAGTATTCCCAGGTAGTTAAGCCACTATCGCCTTACGCCCGTTCAAATTGAACCTCTCCTTTCTCTTTTTGTCCCTTCAAAGAGGAAAAAAAAGCAAACTGTATACAAAAAGTTAGTTTTCATTAATAATTATGATTGATAAGACAACCCGTGAACGACAGAGTGGCACGATCGTCTAGTCCTTAATTCATTCATCGACTATAAATGGGTGAGTTTGGGGATATAGTCGTAGGAACCGTGTCCGTATCCCATGGAGGATATTGAGCAATTCATGGGCGAGCCCATACCCGGATGTGACGTCATGGGGTTATGCGCATGCGTGTGGTTATCCAGTGGGTTGATGTCTGAGTACATACTTCCGGCCACGAGCATATTGCTGTTGGGGGGCGGGTAGTGTCGGGAGTGAGGAGGGTGGTGGCTGTGGGCGAAGGCGTTGCCATGGTTACCCGGATGAGGAGGTTGGTGATGAGGTGGTGGGTGTGGTGGCGCTTGCTGCTGCTGCTGTTGTTGTGGTGGTGGTTGTTGTTGTTGAGGGTTGTGGTGTTGAGAGTAGGGGCTGTGGTTGGCTGGGAGGGGCGAGGCGCTCTCGTGCTGTACGTGATGCGGCTGGTGGGCTGAAGAAGGAGGTTGCTGTGGGTGCTGTTGTTGTTGCTGTTGTTGCTTGAGCGAGCTGGCCACCACGGGGTGGGCCGGTGAGATCATACTTCCGCCAGAGCTTGGACTCTCACACTTGATGTGCTGCTGTTTCTGCTGTTGCTGTTGCTGGTGGTGGAGCGGTAAGGAAAGTGGATGCCCCCCGCTGGGGTCATGATGAGGAAGGCGCATCCCGCCGCCACTCTGAGACCTCGGCATTGGGAGTCCTTGACCTTGGAGGCTGCAGGACGACGAACCTGACCCTGGGACCGTTTCAAGGTCATTGAGAGTCGACCCTGGAGAGTGTCCTCCCCTTGAGGAGATCCGAGGCTGCAGAAAATGCTGCGGGGGCGGGGCGTCGCCACCCGGGTGGGCTGAATTCGGAGACAGATGAAGCGGGTTCAAATCCCCTCCTCCCCCTCCTCCACCGCCAGCAGCAGTGCTTCCAGCACTTTGCTCGCTATTTTCCCCACTACCCCCTCCCCCTCCTCCACCCCCACTTCCCCCCGATTTGATCACTGGGCAGTCCATGAGTCCAGGACTTCTATCTCCTCCTAGCCCCGGCATGCCATGACATGAAGAGTTCTCCGTGTCACTTCCTGAAAAACTTCCCTCCGACTTGGGGCCGTGTTTGTCTAGAGAATTCTTTGACCTTTGCTCTTTCTTGAATTTCATCCGTCGGTTCTGGAACCAGATTTTGATCTGCCTCTCCGTCAAGTTGAGCAGAGCAGCCATTTCGATTCGACGAGGCCGGCAAAGGTATCGGTTGAAGTGGAATTCTTTCTCCAACTCCACTAACTGGGCGCTCGTATAGGCGGTCCGGGCTCGTTTGGATGGCTCTGAAGACGAAACAGAGAAAAGAAAAGGTATTTGTAAGTTTTTCGAATAAACGTATGAAAAAGGTAAAGTTTTATGAAGTCTGAATTACACAACATGATCTTTGAAGTTCCTTGAATAAAAGTATCCAAACAGTAAAGCTTTGTGAAATCTGAATAAGATAGCATGACCATTAAAGTACTTCTAATAAAAGTATCATAAAGGTAAAGTTTTATGAAATCTGAATCAGATAAAAATGACCATTAAAGAGGCAAACTGCTTTGAAAGTTCCTTTTAAAATCAGCCTGCGAATTGTGAAATAAATAATCCTTTAAAAAAGACGACACCGGAATCGAAAAAAAGTCTTTTGCGTGTAACTGTGCAAAGCTTAACTGTTAAAAACAGAAACTTTTTTTTCTTTCTGTTTATTGTTGAAAATAGTTAATGGTTCACACTCCAAATCAATCGGGGAAGAAGAAAATCGGAAATCTGAAAATAATACAAAAATTACGTGGGTCGCTGCGCCACATGGTGCTCGTTGGTGTATGAACAAATTAATAGAAAAGAAGCGAGGACAAAAAATATTCTTTAAAAAAAAAAAAACGTGATCAATAATGTGAAAAGATCACCTCTCTCTCTCTCTCTCTCTCTCTCTCTCTCTCTCTCTCTCTCTCTCTCTCTCTCTCTCTCTCTCTCTCTCTCTCTCTCTCTCTCTCTCTCTCTCTCTCTCTCTCTTTCTCTCTCTGAGACTCCACAAAGCATTCTATGCTAGTTAGAAATAATTGAGTAACCCTTTTAGAGTCGTATGATGAGGGCTTCATGTAGTGCAGGAAAAAGAGCCACAAGAAAGTCTGAAACAGTTGAGAGAAAAAAACAAAGAAGCGGGACCTTTCACTAGCGCCCTCCACACACCCAATTTTGTCGTTTGTCTTTTTATTTTTTATTTTCAAAGTAATATGAATTTTCTGAACAGGCGCATTTTAACAGTTTCTGTCAGGTCGTCTGGTAGAGTGATAGAACGCTATTCCGTAACTGTATATGATGTAACAGGTTCCGGCTGTGTGAAGCCTGGAGTGTTTGGTGAGTGGACACAATAGGAGGGTCATTCGGTGCTGGTGAAGGTGTGAACTTAGAAACCTCGCCGTAGCTTCAACGCTTAGAAACTCACACGGGGTTTGTTTTCTGAGGGAGACTAATGTTGTGGTGGAGGGGTAGTGACAAAGAGAGATAAAAAGAGATAGAGATCAATAGCGAGGGAGAGAGAGTAATAGTGAAAGGGAGAGTGAAAGAGAAAGGGGAGGGAGAGAGAGAGAGAGAGAGACAGAGAGAGACAGAGAGAGAGAGAGAGAGATAGGAGGGTGAGGTTGGCAGGGAAAAGAGGGGGAGGGTAAGAGATTGCCAAAGCCATTACTCTATCACAATACATTAAAGTTTGTACTTTTTGGTAGTTTGTACGTTGCAAAGCTTCCTCAATAGAGTATTTATCAGTGTCAGCGGAATGTTGCTGTCGCTAGGGTGTTTAGTTGTGAACAGTAGCTCGATCACGTATCACGCCAAAGAAGGCTGTCTTTACTTCAACTACGTCGCAAACTCCCAAAACCCAGATTAATCTATATATCTTTTACTACACTATCGACACAACTCTGGTCATGTAAGTTTTATAAAAACACTGAGATAAGGAGATCATCCTTGGAAAGATGAAGAATCCAGAAAAATGAAAGTCTTCGGCAGCGTTGCTTGACTTGACATGTTGACGACACAATTTTGGTCATGTACGTTCAAAAACTCTGAAATTTGGAAATCAACCTTGGAAAGATAAAACCAACTCAGAAACAAGAAAGTCATCCGTAGCGCTGTTTGATTTGCCATGTTGACGTTCAAGGTTTCTCTTTGATTGAGTCCGAAAATTTTCTCAACCCCTCCCCTGTCCATTGTACAGCAAATCAAATCTCCTCAGAAAGCATTATGCTTTCCGATTTACAACCAATCAAATGTATGGAAAAGCGAGGTTTCCCTTTCACATCCAATCAAATTCTTGCAAACGACATATTATTTCCTTCAGAAAGACAGCCCCGATTTCAGATTCATAACCAATCTAATGCTTCAAAGGGATACTCATTTCTCTTTTACGTCCAATCAAAAATTCCTACGAACGGCACATTTCCTTCAGAACAAGAAACCTAGATTTTTACCGAAAGTTGACGTCAAAATACAAAGCTTTCCAATACACTGCGGCTACAACCCAGATTTTGTGCGGTTCAAGAACATCTTCATCGTCCACTCATGCAAATGATCGGTTCAGATTTGCATAGTCCCCTGTTTTACATGTAGATTCAGGACAAGCATCTTTGAGGGACGGACTATCTTCCTCTGCAAGTTTGATCAAGGTCTGAGGGGAATTTCCCCACTCCTCCACCTATGCCTTTATCGATTTATCTCTTTGTCTGTCCGGCTGTAGGCCCTTTTCTTGCTCTTTCTCTCTCCCACTTTTCACGGCATCTCTTTCTCTTTCTTGCCCTCATTGCTTCGCATCTATCTATCTATCTATCTATCTATCTATCTATCTATCTATCTATCTATCTATCTT